GTTCAGCTGAATCCAAATAATTCTAATTAACCGGGTGCCATGTCTTAGCCTATCAGGCGTGGTAGCTCAGTACAACTTGCTTTTACTCCTACTAAATTTATTGTTCTATCTCCAGTCTGAATGTTTTCTCCATCATATATTGGTATTTGCTACGATACGACGAGCCAGTGCAGACAATGATATGACTTCCACGTGAGACCATATAGATTAAACAATTACAACATGACAAATGTACAAGTTTAGGATTAGGTCTATTTTTAGAGCAATATTAATACCATAATTCTACAGATGCATTTGCAGCTATGAAGTTCATAAAATTTCAACATTTTTAACGAAAATGCCTAGGTTAACCGTTAAACCAACGAGTTATGTGTCATTTTGCTTTCAACTGACAGTATGAAAAATGGGTGTCATATAACCTCGGTCTCACATATCTTTAAATAATACCTGAATATATATTGGTTGCTTCGCTACCATTTATATAGATGGTCAGCTGCAATGATGTTGTACTTCTTCCACAGAACGATATCCAGAACTTATGAACAACTGTATATCCAGGCAACGATACTGTATATCTTTCCCTCGCTTATGCCACTTACGTTTTGAAACCGCTGACCATTATCACGTGCCACATCATTCGTCGAGATCCCAATTTCAACTTGACCTATTTCGCGCCTACTATCAGCATAAAAGCCAAGTGTTCCCAAATTGACCAGTCGTATGCCCAATTAGCACTAATGACCCTAGGCCAAAAGACAAGTTCTTGTTGGTTCATTAATTGCGAACCCCACTGTATGCTTTGCGCAGTGTCCGAAAGTGGTAAACAATCTTCGCTATTGAGATTTCAAGTAGATATAGATTATTCACAAATATATGGGACCTCGTCGCACCATACAATCAACAAAGCGATTATATATTACGAAGCTAAAAATTGCTGTGAATGGTGGAAAATCTAAGTTATCAGGAATAGCAAACAGCATAACTGTCTTTAGTGGGTTAGTAAAACTTTTACGTTAAATGGAATAGATATACATAATAATCTAGTTAGCCGGTAACTGCATAAAAATTATAGTGAATAATGAGATGGTGGAGAAGATTTGTAGCTCAGGTGGATGATTTTGGTGGAGTTTTGTTCTCTGAGCTGGATGGTTTGGTCGTGGAGCTTTCATCGTCCTTCTGAACGACATCATCAGCACAAACTTCAAATCGAAGAGAAGTGTTTGAATTTCTCCATATGTGTTTCAAAGCCTGTTCTGTGTTCTGAAACACATATGGAGAAATTCAAACACTTCTCTTCGATTTGAAGTTTGTGCTGATGATGTCGTTCAGAAGGACGATGAAAGCTCCACGACCAAACCATCCAGCTCAGAGAACAAAACTCCACCAAAATATAGTGAATAATAATTTAAGAAGCCAATCACAACATTTACAACACTGTCGAACCACTTCTTGGAACTAATCGGTTTATCTGGGGAGGAAGATAGATAAATAGGTGAGTAAATTGGTGTAATTCTGCAGACAAAACAGCATTGTACATATTGTTGTCGCTATTTGAGAAATTAAAATTGTAATATCAGTTACAGTATAGTAAGAAACCTAATTGGATTACGGAACAGTGATGAAATGGTATTTGACTAGTATTATTATTGTTCACTATAATCTAGGCTGTGGCAAATGCGAGTATGCTGCGCTGAATAATGCTTATGGTGATGAGTAAGCAGGTTCAATATGTATACTCATGTAATTAGCTAAGCAATGTATATCTTCTTAGCCCCTTAAAAAGATTTTGAACAACACAAAACATGCATACAAGCAGCTTTCGGTAACTTACCGAGAGTATCATTATTCGAACCCAGCACAATTGCACTCCAGACATGTGATGAATCACAGTCCTTTATGCATGATAAAAACAAAAATGTTATGAAGGTCGAGACAATAACTAAAGAGATATTGAAGATAATCCTCCTAAATATGTAATTTAACCAACAGGCATACATAAATTTGCGACACACTATATTTTCATAGCAATACGTAATGTAATCCTAGCACCTATATTAGCTGTTACACAATCTGGTGTTAGAATGTCAAACAATTTAAAGTCAAAGTTGTCACTCACTGATTATGTTTGCTGGAAGTTAGAGTTTGTCTGGTGTTTTTGGATAATGTCGTAGTTGGTTTCTACCATATGTTGATTGTCAGAAATTCTCTAAGAATGTTGTGGAATTATGGTCTAATTTTACATGAGTACATATATTTTTGTTAATAAATCTTCTCAGTAATTATATGATCGGCTTCAAAGATTGTGTGGTTAGCAGCCATGTGGGATTTCTAGTGATTGCACCTCATCTCATCTGAGTATGTAGAGGATAGCTTGTTATTGCAGATCTATCGGGCGTTGATAAGACGCATATTAAACAAGTGACCAACTAAATTAAAGTAGGTGAGTGTGTAGAGTTATGATCTATGATATTAGTACTGCTCTAATAGTAGACCTAATCCTAAAATTGTAGATTTGTCATGATATAACTACCTATAAGAACTTACGTGGAAGTCACATCATCGTCTACATCAACTCACTGTATCGTGACAATTACCGATACATGGTTGAGAGCAAGCTTAGGCTAGAGAAAGAACAATATATATTCAGTTTGAATAAAAGTTATAGGGTAACATTCCGTAGGGACCACACCTGCATGGCCGAGTCATGCCATCCGATCAACTCCCATTAATTCAACACATTCTTCCCGCCTTTTCCATCGTCAGGTATTTCTCCGCGTCAAATATTGAATATTTATTTTCCGAGTAGTCTCGTGTTCAGCTTGAGGATTGTGTGGTTATGGTCCAATGCCACTACAAGTGTATCTCCAGTGAAGTAGCTCTTCAACCCTCAGAAGTGTGAGGTAGGTTTAAAGCATGAGATCGGTTGCTGTTTGATGGCCAGTTTTGTTGAGTATAAAGGCTGGAGAGGATATATCAATTGAGCAATTAAATTTGCTTAAAGTGTTTACCCAGAAGGAGGGAGTGGTAATATTGTCCAATTAAGGTTGTACGGAAGAAGTGAGTTTGTATTTCTTATATGGTTTTAAATGACAAGATCTAGGTGCCTCAGGAGAGATGCCGCAAGAGGCTGTATCCAAAAAATCATGTACAGGATGACCGCGCATGCTAGGACATCTCCAGTGTAGTCCTGAAAGTCAAGTTCGTGGACTGGGTTACAACTGTATGGATTGTTGTTATCTTGAGGAGGATCTACTGTTCATAGCTAGCAGTGATTTTATCCGTTTTCATACTAAGGAGCCACATTCATTTAGTGGGTTGGTATTGTGGAATGTGGAAAATTTCTTTCCTGTAGTGATTACGGTTGTGATCTTGGGGATAAGAGGTAGAGTGTGGGTTGAGGGATCTGTTATCACCATGTTCATTAATAGTCCTAGACTTAAGTGGATGAGCAGTGTAACCAGAACATTTATAACTACTACCAGTCTGCGTTTTCAAAAGTTGATTGAACTTGTGCCTATCACCAGTTTGACTACTTAGAGATTTTGATGGTAGGTCACTTGATATCATAGGGGAGATCCATGGAGCAGTTAGGTTGAGCCTTGTCTGTTCATTATCTGATGTCGTGGATTTCTTCAATCCGCCCTTCTTGGGAGGAGCTGGAGAATATCATGGTGTCTTAGTAGTGTTCTGTGGGATGAATTCAATTCTATTCAGACTATCTTTTGTCGGCTGTGTTGTCACATGGCTCATATTCAAATATGTTACTGTGCTAACAGACTGGACTAGAATCGTCAACGTCGTTACGTTATATGGTATCAGTCAGAATATGAATCATATTTAGACATTTCTAGTTAGTAAACTCATCTAGTTCTAGATATTTGATATTTTTCACAGTATTAGAATTTGTCTCTGTCTGGTTATTTTCTGTAACATGACCATGCCATCCTAATGCTTCACTTTCTCCTACACGACGTCAACAAGGCGTTAGGTCTGAAGTGACTTTCATGCTGTTGGATGCAATCAATTAGTTAATAACTTCATTAGAACTGACAAGCTATTTGGCATCGTCACAATAGCTAAATTTAAACAGGATGGGACATGTCGATTTGTCCGATCTTTTTCTAAGGCGAGTGACCTGACAGTTTACGTTCAGCAAACCTTATGTTCGACATTAAATATCCCTTAGCTTTGGGAGGGGGCGTGGCTGTAAATAAATTCCCGAAATTGATAGCTCTGTAAGTCTTTGACATTTGATGCTGAACGCATTAGTTTTAGTTGATTCACCTAGCTGAAGGCGTTTGGTCACGCATCCGTACCATATCTCGAGTGTGAACGTTGTGCTTCGCATCTCCTACAACCGCTAGCCAGCTTAGACTTGTCACTTTTCGACATATCGATATCCTTTAAAATATATCTTTGAACCTATTCACTTCTGACTTTTGATTTGACTGGTTTGGCACGTTTTGATTACGGAAGCTGTCACTGGTTAAGGTGTTTTCAAACTCAAAATACTTATGGCATCTTTAAGGGTTTGGTCACGAAGACTGCGTAGACCAAAATTCTACAAATGTACGTAACCACATTGTTGGAAGATGTTACTTTTTTCATCACTTCTTCGGCAGCGAAGTCTGCGGCACATTCTGATTTAGTGAGTGGTGCTAAATGGTTACAATTATTATTAATTCAGAAAGCTTTGTAACTGCCCTGTGTCGCGACAATAAAGATTAGCATTTTGGTGTGTCAAGTAGAGCACTAGACGACTTGGTTTATGAAGCAATAGAAATAATTAAAAAAGACATGAACATGAGATAAAAGGAAACTAGTAAACGATGCGTTGCCTGTCACTGATCTCATCAGCGTGTAGGTAATAAAAATGATTTATTGAGGCTTGCTATTGTGCTAAATTCCTAAATTTGTTTACTCAGTATGTGTACAAAATAGGATCTCGGAGATCATTAGCTTACGGAAATTCGTTACTCCTGTCAAGGTCAAGGTTGAGCGCTTACAATCTAGTTTCGTTTTCACTAGTAACTGAAGATGGGTTCGTTGTTCCGGAGCGAAGAAATGCAATTGTCTCAGATGTTTCTGCACACAGACATAGCCTACATGTGCATATCAGAGTTAGGGGAGTTGGGACTGGTGCAATTTCGAGATGTAACTAGTGGTCTCTTTGTGTTATAGTATTAGACCGTCCCAGGTACCAACGCCTTCCAGAGGAAATTTGTAAATGAAGTTCGAAGATGTGATGAAATGGAGCGAAAACTAAGTAATTTTTTCGCTAAATCCGTGCATTTACTTAGGATTCCTGGAGAAGGAGATCGAAAAAGATAAATTTCCCATATTGGACACTGGCGAAAATCCAGAAGCTCCGGCCCCACGTGAAATTATCGACTTAGAAAGTATTTTTGAGAAATTAGAGAATGAGCTAAAAGAAGTGAACTCAAGCGCAGAAAAACTAAAGAAGACGTACCTGGAATTGTCTGAACTGAAGCAGATTTTGCGCAAAACGCAGACATTTTTTGACGAAGTAAGTTTTTATTTTTTCGTACGAGTTAATGTGTCGCCTTCAAACTGATTTACAACGTACATTCGATAAGTCAGATGTTGCGTTATAGTTCGGTGATGTGTTTTAGTAAATACGTTAAGTTATGGTCTATCAGGCTCGATGAACATAAAATATCATGGTTAACATAAGTGATGGTGGTATAGTCCACTCATATTCATACGACTAAGAATAATTTCAAGTTTTATCTAAACATGGTATTGTCAGACTAACCTCTATTTCTTCCCGGCCTGGGGATTTGATGAGTTTACGCGTAATACTCATATCATTTGCTAGTCCTACTTCATTGTGGGTAACAGATTGAACTAACCAACTGGTTATTCATCACCTATCGATTAACTATAAGCTTTTTTGGCATTTATGATCATAAGTTTAGTTACTAGGGTAGGCCTGCCCTACTTCCATTGATCTAAGTGTTAGTTCTCATGCATTTGTCCACACAGTACAGATATCTGAAAATTAGGAATGTTTAGACTTTCTTTTGATCCGTAACTCGTTCATCACAGTTTTTTGAAGTATATTGTGGAGAGTTATCTATGACTTCACAAGTTGCTTTCCTAACTTATTGTGCTAGTTTTTAAGTTTTGGAATGGTTCACCTTTCCGTTTTCCATTCGTTATTGGTGACAAACTATGGTAATCGGTTTTATCAGCTTTATTTCCGATTAGCTAATAAGATAGTCTATTTAGCACATTAAATCAGCTTACAAACAGCTACTTATAATGGTAATGGTAAATCAGTTTACAAGGGAAGCTGAATGTTCATTTTGCCAAAGTAGAAAAATGTAACAAGTGGTGAAAGTACTAGAATTTCACACGTTGGCTGCAGAATCCAACTGCATTTCAGTTGTCTAAGTAATCTCTGGTAATCTATAGTACACATTGTTGTGGCTTATTTCTTTTCATTCAGTTAACTAAAATTTATTAAGTCAGAAAGCCTGACTGCTCAATGAAGACTTGATTGGTATACTTCAAGTTACACAGTTGTCGATAGCTGTTATCGGGATATAGATTGGATTAAAGCATATACTGTGTAGTACTGTGATGAGGCACTCTGGTTGGTTTTTTCCTAACTAACCAATGCTAGCGGAGACTCGGAGAAGACTCTAGAATCTTATGTAAAAATCTTAAATATACTGACGCTTTTCTTGCCGTGATTCCTACTTCCATCCAACTTTTTTATTTGGAGTTTAATTACGTTCCTGTTCAACCATGCTCGGATTTGGGGACTTGTCAAGTAGTGTCTGAGAATATTTAGCAATAAGAGTGGCTGGGTCGAAATAAGAGAAATTATGACGGTAGTTATGCAGGTTTTGGGTCGAACTCTGTATAGGACGGTAACGTTGAACTAGTGTTCTTACGCTATACCTGCCATGATGACAATCTAGCGATTGCTCGTTTATAACTGAAGAAAGTAAGCAATATCTGTTCAAGGTTGTAATGGTTAAGAATATGTCAGGCCTGAGTTTAGCACAGACTACCAATTATGGTTTCAAACTAAAACCGTGTGGTATCCTTAATTGTCACAGTTGATCGCCTTTGCGGCGTTGTTGAGCGTGACTAAATTGTTACGGTTACCATTCACACTCAGGCGTAGGCTACCTTAGACATCGGCAAGTTGTCCGTTGCTCTTTTCCTTGTATTGCATGTGGTTATACCTAATTGCCTCAGCCGTTGTCTGGTCCTTTTGTCGGTTTGTCCGACTTCGGTGTTGTACTGCTGTGAATAAATTAGTGCCAAGATTTACCGATTGAACTTCTGACCATACCTTCCAATGATTTGCCCCTTCGTCGACTGAATCGCGAACAGGCTCTGCACGATCCTGCAATGTCAGAAGAAAATGTTGGACTCCTTGGCGGTGAAGCAATGGGTGCTGCTGGCACTGCTGGTGGATTACGACTGGGGTAAGTTACTGCTTTTATATTCGCGTTATGTATATTTTGCTTACTAATCTGTTTGTGATTTTTAGGCCAACGTAGAATCTCATCTAGACTTAAACCCAATGAATGATCCCAATCATAATTATTCGGAAAGGGATGTTACAGTTCATACTAACAGTAACAAACGTCATGTAGAGTGAGTATACAAATCCCGGAAATCACCTATCAACTCTGGGAACCTATTGAATGTAACTCCCTACTAATAATCACAAATGCTTTGTTGATTTATGGTTTGTTTCCTATATCTCATCTAATCAATTTCAATTAACAATCTTATATATCAACTTACACTCCGTACGTTAATTTTTGTGTCCGACCTTAGAAATACCAATTCAGTAGTTTAAATACAAACACTGTTGTGAAAACAAGTATGGTTATATGCTTGGTCAATTTTGTGGACCGATACGTTAGTGCACCACTGGAGCTGTATGTTTAGATTTTTACAAACTGAACTAGTGTTCGTTATATTGAGTATATGCAAACAGAAACTAGACCATAAACTAAACTACAGTGGTAACACAAAACATTCCTAGAAATTATCCACTGTGTATCCCTAGGCCCGAAAACTCGATTGTCAGCCTTAAGTTCACATATAACCATTGGAAATAATCACCGATTTATCCTATGGAGAGTAAGTATTCTTATATACATGTTATCTACTTCAAAGCTGATATAACTAAAATATGTGTATTCTTTGCACCTTGGTTTTAAGGGTGGTGAGATCAGTCAATCTGGAAAAAATAAATACCACTAAAGACTACCTATTTTGTAGTTCGAATTGTCACTATCCACCAAACGAATTGCCGTCTAAAATATCCCGAAATTCTCTCATATCTCCAAATTCATTTTTCAAAATATTGAAACAGCAAAAGCTAGGGTGTATGTACTCATTTTTTGAGCATACTTTGGAAACCATTGGTCTTAAAAGTTTCATGATCCTTAAATCAAATTGGTTTGAATCATATCCTCTATTTTTTAATTAGTTACTAAGCAATATTATAGTAATTTGGTTTTCTAATTGCCCTATTGATTTATTTTTGTTGAAATTTTAGCCATTCATTACCTCATGCACTCCCTAGTACTCACGAACTAATCATGTATTCCTCGCTCGTTTTTCGAAATATATGCAAATTATTCAAACCTTCCTTACGATTGCTACGCTACCCCCATCTCACTCCATTTTACATTTCCTAGAATAGTTCTATAGCGATTTCATGGGAATAAACCCATTAGTAACCTGTCACATATCGAGTTTTCAGTCACTGAGTCTGATTTCACAGCACCCTGTCCCCTTCCTTCCCAGTTATTACATTTGGTGAATTCGAGTCAAATTAAAAGTAATAAAATATAACGAAATTATATGTAAGGAAGAACTAAATGGTCTCACTAACTACGAATTCGAAAGACGTTATTAAGGATTATTTCAGCAGTGGGTCAAAATTTCATGGAAGTCGTCTGAGGTATCACATTTGTTTAGATGAAGCCTTGGGAATGATTAAAAATCATGATAGCAAATGGATCTGTTAGTTCTTGTTCAGAAATTCCACCTTTTGCATTTCTAGTTTTTATATTCACATAACCATGTTTCGCACAGTAGCTTTCAAACAAATCACGATTATAACATACAAATAACAAATCAACTTTTTCAAAATTAGGTTTCTTGCTGGGATTATCCTTCGTGAACGGTTACCGGCTTTTGAGCGTATGCTGTGGCGGGTGTGTCGAGGAAATGTTTTCCTTAAGCAAGCAGAAGTTGATGACCCATTAGAAGATCTAACAACGGTGAGTAAAGCAATACGTAGTTATGTTGATGGGTTTTCTAATAAAAATTTAGTGATTAATTTCTGCCATAAGTGTTAGGAAAGCATATGTCGTAAACCTTTACATACTACCATCACAACATTGTCCAAATATTAATATTCATGTTTCAGTAACAAAGTTGTTAGCTTATCGCACATAAGTGGATATTTTTTATGAGCAGTGCATGACCCGTTGCTTTCTGCGATGTGTTTCATTTCTTGAGTTTTGTGCTATCCATAGATATGAGAACCGGAAATGTTGCATATATTTAACGATTCATGGACCACGTTAGGTGAAAATTTTTCCCATCCATTTTTGGTTTTCTGACTCGATCTGCATTAAGGTCTTTTCTCAGGCTACTGTAGCTCACAGTCATAAATTAGTACTTTGTTCTTTGTGTCTAAATTATTATTATTTTAACACATAGATATTGGTACAAGAAGGCATCAAATACATATGCGCCACACAAATCTTATTCTATATGTGTGAGGGCTGTGATACTGCCCGGGTGCCCAAACCGAAGCAGGTGGTTTTCTTAGGAGGCCACTCCCCGAGCCTTTGACCTAAAGGTCTGATCCACAAGGTAGTGGAGCATCGTAAGGAGATGCAGTCCCATGGTAGTCGGTGACCAGCGATTGGTTCATACGCCATTTGTTACCGCAAGATACTGGAGCCCATGTGCACCATCAGTTTGGGATCCGGTTAAAGCCCCGGACATTCGCTTTTCGTCCTCTCATTTTTGTGTCTAAATACTTTTTAGGGACAGATTTCTGGCAACAGTGATAACTGCTGTACGTTTGTGCATATATATGAGTCTAAATTTGACTCTCATCTTGTCAATTTCCTCCCAGTGTGCTAATGTGAATAGAAATAATTTCGATCTTGGCACCTTTGTCCATATCTTACAGTTATATGTCTCATTAGATGGCACGAATTAAGCATCAACATTACTAATTTTGTAGCTGGTTCAGAAAGTTTTGTGAACTTCATGAAGTCATTAATAAGAATAGTTTATTGGATTTTAACCTATAGTTTATTACATATCATTTTTGTCTAGTATGCGAAAGCGATCTCAGATGCCTGTGATTTTCGATTTCTAATTGTTACTTTGTGGGTAAGGCGTTGCAACTTTTTACAGTGCACGAACGTTCAGTTCATATTTCTAGCACAAATCATCTATCGCCTTTTCAGGAGAAACAATAAGAATCTTAGAAATTATAAATGCAAGTACATATTAAGTTTTTTAAACAAATTTCATATAAATTGGAGCGTAGATGAACTTATACATCTGAAATTTCTTATTCCGTTCTTATTATTATCTCTATCAAAAATAAAAGAGATTGTGTTATGAATCAAAAGTTTTATGTGGTTTGATTAGGCGAAATTTCGCGTCATTTAAGTCAGTGAATAGGATTCTAATCGATATATGAACGCAATCATACAATGTGGCCGAGTGATGGCTACTCACGAGACCGTATTATTGACTTGAATATTTGGATAATTAAACACCGTCAGTCATATGAGCAGTTTTTCATATAATAAAGTAACATGTTCATGTACAAAATATGAACACAAAAGAAACATGAAAAAATGTCATAGGCAATTGAAGGAAATTAGCTTTTAGGTCACTTATTTTCCAATCGATTAATATTTGACTGTTAGGCCTAATCGGCGAGACTATAGTTTATGGACGGACCAATCAGATATAAGATAACGAGTCACGAATTTCGGCGCTAAATTCATCCATACATTTGGCTAGATAGAGTTTTAGCATTATAACTGATGTCAGTTCGTGATGAAAATCCTAAATCTAATTATTAACCTTAATCAATTGTAAATGAGAATTTTAACTACTTTATAGCCCTCGCTTAGTCTTAATAAGTAGATGTCCATTCTCAAGGTCACTTCAACGTCACTCAAAGGTCGTCCATAGATTATAGTCTCGCCGTTTCAAGAATAAATTCATTGAAAGATGACCTCTTTGCTGAACTAGGCTTGTTTCTATGTTCTAGTAAGTTCTTAGCGTGCTAAACCTATCCTTAGACATTATGTTCAGGTGTGGTTTTGCTTGTGTTTGTCTTTTGCAGGGTATGCCAGTCCACAAATCCGTATTCTTGGTATTCTTTCAGGGTGATCAGCTTCGAACTCGTGTTAAAAAGATATGCGACGGGTGAGTTTTAGGTCTTACTAACGTCTATGCAATAACTTTAGCCGCTTCTAGTCTAAATATTAATATTATTACTTCTTCATTAGTATTTGTACCGGTTCAAGAAAGCTGATTATTTGCACTTGCTTGTGTGTTGCAGTGACCACAAATATTAGGAGATAATGTCACGGAAACGATATTAAGTCTAAGTTGTAGATATTTGATTTCTACAAATTATGTAAATCACTGTTTACGAATTTTTTATGTGGTCTTTCTGTTCCCTTCAGATACTACGGTTGAATTACTAATATGAGTTTGCGAATATATTTCAGCATTCGTCTTCCCTATAAACAATGGAAATTAGGTTCACAAAGTATTTCGTCCTCTCAGCGTCGCATGTATATATCGCAGTTGCCCCTGTTACTATACAAGAGACTAATGTGGAAGAACCTGTCACATGTTCAGAAGAATAGGCAATTTTTCGGCAAAAATCGTCCTTTTAAGTGATTTGAAAGTTTTTAGTCTTTTGTTTTATGTATAAAACCAAGTTAGCTTAGCGTTCAAATATCATCTTAGCGAAATAAGTTAAGCTGACGTATTGTATGCCTTTTTACGAGATTTCATTGTTTTAAACAATCTAGGGATTCCGATTGCTAATTGCTTTCAAGCTTAAACCAATAATGGTTTATTTTTTTACTATAATACCAAATTTCGTTCCCAAATTTCAGTATTTTCGATTCATCCTACAAAGGAGTTGTCTGTTGATCATCTAATACAATTTTTATTGTAAGGGCTTGCTGACAAAATAGAATGTATAAATGAACAGTTATTTTTTACAGATAATTTTCATTAAGGACTGACAGCTAAAAGTCATTAAAACCTAGGTCTGACAATAAGGCCTCAGGAATTTAGGTTCTTGATCCGTACTGATAAATTCTAAGGGAGTAATTGTATATATTTGAGAAGATAATTGGCCGATTTGTTTGAAAACGAATTCTCGCTGTGTTCAGGTACACACTTCATGTTTTTGAATTATTTAGTTGACTAGATAATTTATTACTGTAATCTGATTAGTTAAAATCTATGTAGTGTTAAGTACTTCTAATTAGATGCTGACACTAATAGTTCTTACATTCGAAAGTCATTTCATTCAAAAAATTATATTAGCCGATTCAATTTCCGTGAAACATCAAATCTGCTTAATCAGTGAAAAAGGTAAACCAGTGATGATTGTCCTTCAACTAATAAACAAGATATGCTTATGTCAATACTCGTCAGTATTCAATAGTGATATGAAATGTAAGAATACTTTTATTATTACCAATCGCATGTAGATGGAACTAAATGTCTAGTCATACAAAATGATTTAATTAGACTTGTAAATTGGGTCGTAAGTTGCCCTGGAGAGGTACTTGTTTCGTTATCTTTGTCGTCCTTGCCACAGAACTCTTTCTAGTTGATCAATTCTACGTGTTTCTCTTTTCGATGAATTGGTGTAAAACCCATATCCATGTTCACTTGATAGTTGTGATAATTGTAATTCCACACATCTCCATTTCTTATTATCCATATTCGGTCTCAAAGAGGGAAAGACAGTTTAACGGATCATACGATACACTGAAAGTTTCTGTAGCATTAATAACGTTGGACATATTGACAGATGCAATGACTTCTGTTATGGGTAGATGTAGATGATGGTTCAATAACTGACACGCTGCAAGTATCAGTGCTTCTTCTAAACAAGAAATGGAGTTTGATGTTCGGTCGTGGTTTTGTCACTGCAGTTTGTAAAGTATTTTTAAACTCGAGATTGTATCTAGTCCATAAAGTGTATAAGGCACACTGAAAAGGGGAATGCTTCTTGCCACTTTGTGGGATCCGGTGCATCGACTTCTAAAAAGTTGGTATTTAATTGTCCAATAGATTGGTTAGCTGTCAGAAATGCATTTAACCATTCATGTTGTTTTAGTAATAATTGGTAGCAGATAACAATAAATCGATGCGTTCGTGGCTTCTGTCAGTGATAAGTTCAAAAAGTATAAGACAGTTAAAAAGTATTCTGTTCACTCGTTTACGTTTTTCGTGTACATCAAACGGAAGAACAACTAAATAACCTCCAATCGCAGCCTCTACAGTTTTATGTAAAGTTGAAGATAATTCATTGAGTAACATATCCTTTTAATGACGTTATAGTCTAGGTGTACTCATCATGAAAGGTTATACGAGTTCGGATAAACTTCCGTTATTGTTGCAGCTGCTGGGAGTAAGTCATCTATAACCATCCTGGGCACATTTCTTTCATTAGTTGACTCCTCGAGAACTCAAACCGATGTGCACATATACCAGTTTCTATGCTGCATTTGACTGACTGAATATTAAGGCAGAAATTATTCAACAGATGCTGAGTGGCACGTTTTGATATTAAAACAGACTCTCGTCGTTGATTTTGTACGTTTCATCAAAACTAGTTAACTACATCCAGGTCACGAGTAGTTAAATAATTTGGTCGGAAATTGAGAAGAAAAAATCGTCGAAAATCATTATCTTTATCCAAATGGTGTTCTCAACATCCGCCAAGGCAAGTGGTGTGACTTCGAAGTGTTTAATAACTCTTCTCATATCATTCATGCAAATATACACAATACGTATCTAGAAGACTAGCCTGCTGGAGCACTTCTAACCTCACTTTGTAGCCGCTCGGCGTAAATAGTCGTTCCCAATCTGACGAGTGTGCCGGGTTGAATACATTGTGTGCTTACTTAATTACGCGTGCTACTCGTGGAGGAGCGTAGGCCGCCCATCAGCACTCTCCATCCAACCCTATCCTGAGCAATACTTTCCAGCTCTTTCCAGTTGTTATTCATCCTTTTCATATCTGCTTCTATTTTCCGACGTAATCTACTCTTTGGCTTCCTCTTTTCCGCTTCCCTTCAGGATTCCAAGTTAGCGCTTGTCTCATGATGCAGTTTGATGATTTCCGCAATCTATGTCTTATCCACTTCCAACGCCTTTTCCAAATTTCCCCTTCAGTTGGGAGCTGGTTTGTTCTCTCCCAAAGTTAAGCTGTTGCTAATGGTATCCGGTCAACGAACGAAGAATATTATGTGTAGAAAATTGTTTATAAGTGTTTGTACATTTTTGATGATGATAGTAGTAATCCTCAAAGTTTCAGCTCCCTAGAGTAGAACTGTCTCGACTTTCGTTTAAAGAATCTGACTGATATTGGTTGACAATTGTTTTGAGTTCCATACGTTCTTCAACTGTAGGAATGCTGTCCTTGCTTTGCCAATCCTCTCCTTTATGTCTGCATCCGAACCTCCTGGTTCATCGGTAATGCTGTCCAGGTACGTGAAAGTTTCCGCTTCTTCCAGAGCTTCTCCACCAAGTGTGACTGGTTTGGTGTTCTCCTTGTTGTATTTGAGTATCTTGGTTTTTCCTCTGTGTATGTTGAGGCCTACTGATGCAGAGGCTTCCGTTACAGTGGTTGTCTTGGCCTGGATTTGTTAGTGTTTATGAGATAGAAGGGCTAGGTGATCTGCGAAGTCCAAATCGTCCAATTGGTTCTGAGCTGTACATTGTATTCTGTTTTTTCCCTCAGATATTGAGATCTTCATAATCCAGTCAACCACTAGAAGAAAGAGGAAGGGAGAGAGTAGACAGCCCTGTTTGAATCCGGTCCTTAATTGGAATGCATCTGTCAACTGTCCTCCATGCATGACTTTGCACTGTAGTCCGTTATATGAGTTCTGGATGATGTTGACAATCTTTTTGGGAACTCCATAGTGTTGAGGAAGTTTACATAGTGTTCTCCTATTTACACTGTCAAACGCCTTCTCATAGTCAATGAATTTGATGTATAGTGACGAGTTACACTCAACTGATTGTTCGACAATTGTTTGCTACCATCCCAGAAATAAGCAGAGGCTAGACACTTTTAAATACCGCGTTAGTCAGCTGTGGGATCCATGCATAGAAAATTGTATTCATGATTGTAATCCAGATTCCCACTAACGATTAGCCAGTATGCTTCTGGGAATTCGGCATGATTGACGGTCGGACATTCATTTTATCAAAACCCTTCAGGAAAACGTCTTATTAGATTGCTCAATTCACTTTTTTTGAATATCATATCCGTTTATCCTTGCTACACTACGAACTCTTTGCCAACACACACATTACATGTATGGTTTCTGATTCTGATGAAAGTGGGAACCATGAATCACATATATTTTCTTGTTAGAAATCTCTGTTATCGTTTTCCAACCCTTTCATCGATGGGAGCGTTATCAGTAACTGGATGGTCAGGGCCACATTTCTGTGTCAGCGACCAATTTTGAAACAATTTCACTTGTGCTTGTTTGATTATTATAGCTCATGATCAAAAAAGGTAATTTTCGCACAAGTTGTTCCCTTTTTACATTTGTCTTAAAATAGTAATAAGCAATAAGTTCATTTTTAGAACAGTCAATTTTATGGGATACCAGGAGACAGTGAGTATACGGGAAGGAATGAAAAGTTTTTCACTTATGATAGAGTGGGTGTGGATGTTCGGTTAACATTATCAAGACAATTATATAATTCATCGGGATAAAACATATCCAGAGTTTATTAAGTTCTGAATAAAACGATCACAGTGGTTTTGATTCAATATTCTCGCTACTTAGAAATGTATGTTTCTTAATCTTCCTATCCTAATTATTCTGATCATAATATTCATCTCCGTACTGTTAATGACTTACAAATCACATTGATTAGATAAATTATATATAATGGGGAGACCTTTGCGTGATATAATCAAACGACTGTTCGCTTATATATACGCGCCTAATTTTTCAGAACTATACTATGGACTCAGGTCTGTATTGTTAAGAGGATGATGTAACGAGTGAATAATGTCTTAGTTTATCCGTTATAAATAGGGATAAGTAGACATATTCATGTTTTTCTCTAATTCAGTGTAACGTTTCGTGCCATTAATTTTTATTTCCAGTGTCATTTTGACGTGATTTTAATTTATAACGTAG